TGTTCCCTTCCCATTTGCTATTCCTGTTTGGTTTCCCTATCCTCCCCAAGCACAAAAAAAACACAAACACAAACATACACACACACACACACACACAAACACAAACACAAACACACGCACGGTTTCGCCTCCCCAGTGGCGCACACCCATTCGCACACTCCTCCCATCCGGATGCCACACATCGCATGCTGCTGGGTAATATATACTTCTTGTACTTCAATTTTTCATGCACTTGTCATCGGCATTCTCCCCCATGGCCCGGGGGGCTCGGCTCCATGTGTGTGGATGTACGCGTGTGTGTCTTCGGCCGTGCAGAGATGGGTGCAAAGGAGCAGGGGAGATATGTGTAGACAGACCCTCCCACAGGATCGAGGGGGGAACAGCCCTGCGGGGGGATTCTTGGCGCCAGAGCTGCCGAGACCGATACGTGACTTAATCGAGTCTTAAACAACGGTCAGCTGATCGTAGGACCCGCCCGGCCGATCTCCAGCCTTCTTCTTCAGCCTGCACCGCCATCTGTGGCGGTGGACATGCCCCCCTCCCCCCCCCCCCCACCCCCCGCGAGCACCGAACCAGGTCCCCCTTCGATCGACTACCCTCCCCTGCTGCTCTCCCTCCTGCCCGTCCCATCGGATATCCCCTTTCTTTGATCTCCGGCCCGCTTTTCCCTTGGACTCCCTCCACTCGCAGGATGCCCCCAGGCCGCGTCCCCCCGAAGGGTGCTCAGCCTGCCGCCGCCAGCGCTCTGTCGATGGAGGACTACCTTCGACAGAATTATGGTGTCAGCAAAAAAGATCTTGCCCCGCCAAAGAACCTCGGCCCGCCGACTGGCAGTCGGCCCCGCTCGACGAGAAGTCCCTCCGGACACGCCACCCCGCGCGGCGGTGCGGCTGAGGACGATGACGACAATCCGACACTGGTGGTCATCGATGAGACTGACGGTCGGGCACCACCGCCGGCGCCGGCGCCGGTTCGAGCTGAGCCCCATCGCGAGCGGTCCCCCCCTTCCCCCGAGAGTGCGTCGTCCATGCCTTTCCATCGTATCACCCCATTCCACGCTGTGTCTCTTCTCCTCTCTGACCTGCTTCTTCACCATGTGCCGGGGCAAACAGTCTCCCGGGGTCCCTCGGACACCTCTCAGGAGACCGTCTTCCGCGATAAGGTCACTGGTACGTGAAAGAGAAGGGCTACTTGCTTCTTTTTTTTTCGCCTTTTTCTTTCGTCTGCCATACTGCTGATCTAACTAGATCCCCCTCCCTCTCCTCTTTGCAACCAGGCAAACGTATCGACATCCGAGCGGCCCGACTTGAGGCTGAGAAGGCCAAACAACGCCGGGCCGAGGAGTTGGAGAAGCGCTCCCGCTGGGGGAGAGGAATTGCCCAAGAGCGTGAGCAGATGGAGCGCGAGAAATATGCCGAGAGCTTCAAGGAGAAGCCCTTTGCCGTGTGCGTGGGGGCTGCCATTTCGTGTTTCCACCCTCCCCCCTCCCTTTTTTTCATGTCGCTGTCCGCTAACAGCTGCTTTTTTCCATTCCCCTTTGCCGCTTTTGCGCGCTCCTCCTTTGTCTCCCTGCCCCTCCCCTCCAGGTATGCCGATGACGAGGAGCTCAATGTCCGACAGAAGATGAAGAGCAGGTGGGGCGATCCTCTCACGACGGGCGGCATGCCGAGCGTCTCAACCAACCCGGATCAGGCCGATCCCCTGGCGGCCTTGTTCGGCGGCGAGAAGAAGCGCTCCAGCCCGGATACCACCCCCTCCCAGCCTGTCGCCGAGCACCCGGCCCCGGTGCTGGAGCGTCCTCGGTATGCCGGGCCACCGGCCCCACCAAATCGGTATGATATCCACCCTGGCTACCGTTGGGATGGCGTCGGTGCGTGGAGCATCCTCCCCTTGTGGTGTCACACACACACACACACACACACACACACACACACATACACATACACATACATATATACACATGCGCGCGTCCCTATGCATCTGCCGTATGTGGTCACACCCGGATCGTTGCGAGTACTAACTTCAAATGTCACGTCTCGACGTGTGGGCCGCAATCCGCATGGGGGCAGATCGCTCGAACGGCTTCGAAAAGCGGCTGATTGCGGACCGGGCCACCGGTGCGGCTCGCATGGCGCGTGCGCATGCCTCACATATGGACGAACTTTGAGCATCTGCCGGGTGTATTATCCGAGACAAAGAAAGACAAGTAATTCGTTGCTCCTCTGTCGGGTTTTTTTTCCTGTACATTTCCCGGGATGCTGTATTGCTGCTTTCGGCAATGGGATGAGGGGAGAAAAGGGGGAGAGATAAAAAGAGGAGCTGCCGAGGTGAAACAACTGCGCCGACCAGCACCCAACAAGAGGGGGAGGGGGGGGGGGGGGGGATTATCGAACATACCAAGGTGGCCCTGTCACCAAAGGCCTGACGGAGGGGGGGGGGGGGGGGGGGGCGAGATGTGCTCGGGCACAAGGACACGCTTGTAACATACATAAGTATATGTGAGCGGCGAGGAGAGGTGTGAGGTGTGAGGTGTGAAAGAAAGGGCCAGACCGCGTGGGTTTGCCGGGCATCGTGGCCCAACGGGGCCTGCTACTGTTGGTGCTGCTGCTGCTGCTGGTGGTGGTGTTGCTGCGGCTGCTGGTCGCCAGAAACACAATACTCGAGCTCCATGCGACTGAGGGATTGCGGAATGGCCGAGATGATCGGGCCAAAGCTCTTGGAGTTGTGGAGCTCCCAGAAGGGAATCAGCTGCATGGTGTAATTGGCCGGGATGAAGAATTGGACTGAATGCGGGTGCGCAGGAAGCCGGGTCAGAAGATGATTGTGTGGCAGGTGGCGAAGGCGTGAGGGTGCGGAGGGGAAGGGGAAGATGGCCACGAAGCGAACGCACAGGAAGGAGGCGCCTGGATGAGGTAGATCAGCTGCTTCTCCTTGGGCCGAGTAATGTGCGCCGGAATGTACGGGTACTGGTTGCGCAGCGAGAGAAGGAGAGGAGGAGAGAGGAGGATGACGGAAGAGAGAGACATGGGAAAGGGGGGGGGGTGAGGAGAAGCAAAGGCAAGCAGAGAGTGTGATGGGATGTCCACCAGCAAAGGAGAGGTATCCATAGAAATGGGCGATGCCATTGTTAGGACGCACAACAGAGTGTTCGAAGTTTGGCCGCCACCAAGTGGCCACACGGGATTTGACCTCCCAGTCGAAGGATGTCCCCGGCGGGGCGAGCTGCAAGTCCAGGCGGTTCTTAAGAGCGGCCACCGGGTCGGCATACTCGTGAGGGAGAAGCTCATCCCCAGGACTATGGGCGGGTGTTGATGACAGGGGCGCGAGGGCAAGGAGGCATGAGAGATCTGGGAAGAGAGAGAGGGGGGGGGGGAGAGAAAGGGAGAGAGAGAGAGAGGGGGGGGGAGGGAGGGAGGGAAGGAGAGAGGGGGAGGGAGGGGAGGATGCGCACAGCTTGTAAAAAGACCCAGCAATGCGCAGACAAAGGAGGTGGGGGTGGCCGTGCTTGGCGATGACGATGGCCGCGGCCACACTATGGCGCATCCCATGCAGGGCATACTCGTCCTTGAGCCGGGCAAAGCGGGCTGACACTGAGGCGTCTGGCTCCGGTTGCTTCTCCCGAGTGCCAGTGGTGTAATTCTCGGCCTGATACAATCGAAGAGTCTCCTCTACCGGAGAGGCCAGCGCTCCCGGGTGCGCGAAGTGCTCGGCCATGGTGTGTCCTGGCTGGGTATCGAACGTCGAGCGAGGTGGGGAGAGGCGGACGGAGGAAAGTAGGAGCGGCTGGCTTTGGCAAGCACGGCCAGGCAGGGGGCAAGAATCAAAGAGGAAATGGGGGGGGGGGGGAAGTCTCGGTATGCGCCCCATAGACGGGCCGGCGGCTGGGGCGACCCTTCAATAGCGTCTCCCCGAACGATCAGGCTCCATGAGGGAAGATCGTTGCCAGCCTCCGCCCTCGATTCGGGGACCGGCTGCTAGCGAGTTCCGGCGGCCGAGGATTCATGGACCAGGGCGGGAGGGGGGAGCAGGCGGGAACGCAAGCGGGGGCAGCTGCACACGGGGCGGCAGGCGTGCGAACTGCCGACCTAGTGGCGCTTACATTGGCATTTCCGTTTGCGATCTGTCGTCGCCGTTGCTGCCCGCCCTCGCCGGAGCCGGGCAGCGGGGAGAGTGTGCGCGAGGGCAGGGGATCTCGCGCGACCTGGCCACCCCCTTCCCGAGGCGTCGCTCTGTGTCTCTTGATGTTGCAGCAGGCTGGAGGGCGGGCGCAAGGCCAAAAGTGGATGTTGTATTATTGTACTTTATTTCGATTAGACCCAAAGTGGGACACAGGGTACAGGGAGGAAGAAGGGACAAGAGATGAGGGGACATGAAAAGCGGGACAGAAGGGGGAGAGAGAGAGAGAGAGAGAGATTGGGATGGAGTTGTGGTTGCCGTTGTAAACTATCAGCAGCCATGTAGGCCCATCGGCGATGTTGTTGGGTGGGGGATGGGGAGGAAAGGGGGGGGGGAGAAAGAGGGAGAGCACGCGCGCAGGCGAGGAAACACCAAACGGAGAGGCGCCCATCAGAATACGCTGGGCAGACTCCTGGATGGCGCCGTGGTGAGGGAAGGAAAGGGGGAGGAGGCGCGTGCGCCAGAGTGACACCTAACCAAACAGCTTGATGTGGCAGGAGGTGCAGTAGGCCTTGGAGGACTGCTCCTTGAAGGTCTTGCCAGCCAGCTGACGGGTGCAGTGGGCGCAGACAAAGTGCTCCGGGTGGAAGCGCCGGCCGATGGCGGTGATGCAACGACCGATGATCGGGCGCTGGCAGGCCGCACAGAGGGACCCCTTCTGGGAATGGTAGTGCTTCTCGCAGTAGGGAAGGCCCTCGTGATCGAAGAAGGCGCCCCCCTCGAAGGGAGCACGGCAATCCTGGCACACAAAGCAGGCCGGGTGCCACTGGCGCGACAGGGCGGTGATGCAGTCAGCCATGATGGCCTGGTCGCAACCGCCACACTTCGGGGCGAACATGTTGAAGTAGTCCTCCTCGCAGTAAGCCTTGCCGTCCTTCTCCATGAAGCCGCCTGACGAAGGGGGAAAGGGGAGGGAGGGGGGGGGGGGGGGGGGGGGGGGAGGGTGGGGGGGAGGGCATGACCAAAATCAGTGGCAGGGTGCACTCGCGCCACGGGGGGGGGCCTCCAGGGGTCTATACATGTGTGTGTGTGTGTGTGTGCGCGTCTGCCAGTACATACTTGGGGGGCGGGGGGGGGGGGGGGGGGGGGGGGAGTTGGTGAGATACTGCGTGTGAGGAGGCTTGGCCAGGGGCGGGTGTGCGGGGGATAGAGGCAGACCACATGGGGATGTACGCACTGTCGCCGAAGCTCTTGCCGCACTGCGAGCAGAAGAAGTGGTCCGGATGCCAGGTCTTGCCGAGGGCGTTGATGCACCGGTCACGGATGGCCCCATCGCAGTAGGCACACCGGGGCGAGAACCGGTCATGGTAGCACTTGTCGCAGAAGCTGTTGCTGTTGTGCTCAAAGAAGGTGGCCCCGGAGAGGGACTTGCGGCAGTGCAGACAGGTGAAGTGCTCGGGGTGGAAAATCTAATCCAAGGGGGAAGCGAGTGAGTAAGGCACAATGCCACGAGAGATGGGCGGGAGATTGTAGGCAAACAAGGTACCTTGCCCATGGCACGGAGTTCCTCGCCGATGACCGGCTCATTGCAGGACCCGCAGTTGCCCTTGGAGGGACCAGTGGGGGCGGGAGTGCTAGCGGGGGGCTGCAGATGTGGGAATGTCAGCGCGCACGGTGACCGGAGGCCGGAGGAAAGGGCGACGGGGTGAGTGTCAAGGCGTGAGACCGGCAGATCAGGATAGACCGGGATGAGAGAGAGAAAGAGAGACAGAGAGAGAGAGAGAGAGAGAAATGCCAGGCATAATAAAGGGGGGGGGGATACGCCGGAGGAGCGGGCAACGCACGGTGAAGGTCTGGGCAGCAGGGGGCGGAGAATCGACGGCCGGGGCAGGGGGGGAGGTGGCAGCTGGCGGGGGGGGCTGCGAGAAGGTCCGGCTCGGGGTGGCCAGCTCCGAAAGCAGGGCATCGACGCTGGAGGTGACGTTACTGCTGGCAGCCGGGGGCTGAACAGCCGCCGGGGGAGACACCGGCGAGACGGAAGCCGGGGAAACAGCAGCCGGGGCCGTCGGAGCCACGACAACCGGCGGCGGGGCAAACCCACCGACGACCGGGGCGGGAGCGGCCGGGGCCGCGGCCACCGGGGCCGCGGGCTTCGGGCTGGCAGCCGCCACGGGCGAGGTCATGGTCAGGGAGGCCATCAGGGCATCCAGCTCCGAGAGAGTGGCAATCGGCTTGACGGTCGGCGAGGAGGCAGCCGGCGTGGGGTCGGCAGCGGCCGGCGCGGCCGGCGCAGCAGCCTTGGCGCCGAGGGGCGCGCCAGAAGGGTTGGAAAGCTCCTGAAGGAGAAGGTCTGCATCCGAGCCGGGGGGAGGGGGGTAGATCTCGGGCATTCGGTGTCATTAGCACTGGGGCACCAGCCAGTCAAGAGGGAAGAGGGGCCAGGAGGGGGGCCGTACCAAGCTCGTCCATGCTGCTGGGTGCGAGGTCCGGATGCGCAAATCCAAGCGGGGAGGGAGGGGGAGGAGTGGGGGGGGGGGGGGAGGCGTGCGTGTGCGTATGAGGTTGCTCTCCTATGGGGCGGAGGAGGGGAAAGGGAGGAAGTGTTCTGGCAGACGAGGCTACGCCGGAGGTATCGCCCATCAGGTTGCTCTTCACTATGTGTGTGTGTGTGTGTAAGGATGAAGCCCTGGCGGCAAGGCGCGCGGCGATGGGGATTTTGGCGGGGTAGATGGGTCCCGGGGGGGGGGGGGGGGGGGGGGGGAGACACGAGCCGGAGCATGCTCCCCCGCTCGCCCTCGGCCGGCCCCTCGCTCCCTCCTCCCGGTCGCCCTCGCCCGCGCTGAAACTGCCACACCGTGAGAGGGGCCTGGAGCCGGAGGGATCCACCAAGCCCAGGGGCCCGCGGGCGGTGCGTCAGGCGGTCGTCTGCCGGGCTGGGGGGGGGGGGGGGGGGGTGGGAACCAGGCACACGCCCGGAGGCCAGGCACCCCCCCCCCGAGCAGCGGGCAACCGGCCTCCGCATCAAAATCAGCCACAAGCGCGCACAAGCATGTACTTTCCCTGCCCCCGGGCCAGAGCCACCATTCCAAGCAATCCCACAGGCATGCGGGCCTGAGGGCCTGCACACGCCCATACATATGCCGGGCGAAGTACCAACTGAGCAGCCTGCCGGGCGCATTCGGTAAATAGTGAACATGTACGTGTCCAGAGTCGCGCGGCCGGGGGGGGGGGGGGGGGCGGGGCGGGGGTTTATTATTTTTTTTTTTCCCCGGGTGCCTGTTTTCTGGTGGGTGTCCGGCCGGAAAGTTCCCCGCAAAAGATTTGCCCCCCCCCCCCCCCCCCCCCGCCGCCCTCCGTCCTCCGTCCTCCCCAGCCTGCCCGCCCGCGCACCCTGGTACGCCTGTAAAGGGGGCCAGGGCCGCCCCCCTGATCGTGAGTCGTGTGTATACCTCGAAGCGCGTGTCTGCGTGCATGCTCAGGTACACTGACAAAAAGGGGCGAGAGGGGCCAGGCGCGGAGGGCGTCCGGCGGGCGGGCCGGGAGAGCGGGCGCTTGTCATGGATGGCGGAGGGCAATATCCCCCCCCCCCCCCGCTGGCCGCCACCAGCCAGCCCCCCCGACGCCGGGCCCCGGGGACTGTCCGAGCAAAAGTGGCATCCCACCCCGCCCGGAGTTAGCGGCCTATGTGTGTGTGTGTGTGTGTGTGTGTGTGTCTGTCCGGCTGTGGTCCCGCTCCCCCCTGCCAGGTTGTTTGCCTTTTTCCGGGGGGGAAAGGATGTCGGCCTTGATGCATATGTTGGGGGATTTTAATGGTGGTGATTTTCGCTCTCCCTCTCTCTCTCTCCCTCTTTCGCTCTCAGCGCGCGCTCCCACAGCCTATTGGTCCGTGGATTGGTTTTTCCTCTCGCCGTCCAATTGTCTCGCTGCTTTCCCGCCCATCGGCAGTCCCACCGAAGAGCAGGATCGGCCCACGGGCAGGCGGCTGGGGAAGCTCGTTGTGATGGGGGCGCGTCCGCCGCGGGCACGCGCCCTGCCGCCAGATTGGCCCTCGCTGCGCATTCTGGGTGCGGACCACCCGCGAGCCCCTGAGTCGGGCCGGCATTTATGTCTTCTACCCCCGCGCGGCGCTGTCCCCCCTCCCCCTGGCCGCGTCGGGGAGCGGTGTACACGGGCGGCGGGTGCCCCCTCTCCCCGCTGAGCCCGGCCCTCGCCCGAACAAAAGCCCTCGCCACGGAGGAGCGCACGCCGAGCCCGCCCGGAGGTGCGGCGGGTGAAATGGACTCTCCTCCCCCAAGCGGTGGAAAGTCCCGCCCGGGTCTGTGTGCGCTCGTCGACGCCTGAAAAGCAGATGTGCGTGTGCGTGCGCGCGTGTGTGTGTGTCTGGGTACCGCGGGTCGGGCACTCTGGCGGACGGAGAACAGCCCTCCCCGCCCTGGCCCCTGCAATATCCAAGGAGCAAGCGCGCGCGCCAGCGTTGTGGATACCCTCAACCGCCGGCCCATTCGAGTCCCGGTTGTTCCCTCACCCTGGATCCGGTCGGATCCATGGAAGTGCCCCGAAAGCGGGGGGGGGGCGGGGGGGAGGCACACTTCACCCACCCCACCGCCGCGGGAGGACAGTTCGCCCGTTGGCCGAGACAGGGGCTGGGGCCCGGCCCCGCCGGCGAGCGGCAGGCCGCTGCGCCAGCCGGGGGCAGGCGGCGCAGCACACAGTTACACGGCCACGGAGGGCAGGTCGGTCTCCTGCCCGCTCTCGGCACACGCTCCTACGGGCGTGTTCTCGCACCCAGGATCTCCCC